CTCAGCTTCTGCCTGCAGTTTCAGCCTGTATATTACAGCAAAGTAAACCACAACAGCAATTAAATATAAAGAAAGAATAAGAATGGATATTATTTTGTTATTTTTTCTTAAGGATAATTTGTTTAAGGGATCACTTTTGAGAGATCATATGTTTCTAATTTATTTTTAAGAAGAAACCTTTACTGAGCAAGGCCAAAATCCATTTAAAGGTACAATACTGACTAGACTTCAGTTAATCAGTGCTAGGACATTATGCTGCCATTGGGTGTAACATTTGCAGATATTATTGATATGCTGAGGGTTTGAGATTTTTCCTCTTCATTGTCTTGGCAATGGTAGGTTCAAGTTGTTAGATTTAAGAAACCCGATCTCAGATATCTTGAAATCCTAGAATGCTAAAATCACACCAACAGATTAATCAATGGAAAATATTAGATGATGTTAAAAAAGACCTGAAATTCCTTTTAAAGTTAGAAACAAATGACTTGTAAAATTTAGTTAATATTGGGAAATATAAAAAAACTTTAAAAATTTTCTGTAAAAATTTCTCTCTAAGCAGCTCAAGATACAATTGATGTATCTATTAATCAATCTATTAAACAAAAATGAAAGAAACATACTGAATACTTGAAGAGAAAATCTGACTCCACCAAAATTCTGGTAACACTCTGTTACCAGAACAGGTAGCACAGGCCCTGTATATGTAAAAAAGTGGAGCTCTGAATTTACATTAAATATCTCAGTACAATTTCCACCTGTGCTGCATTTTGTGCCTATGTGTAGAACCTGTACCTCAGATAGAGACAACCTGGTGTCATTTATTTTAATCAGCAGTGCTCTGCAGATTACTGTGCCTGACTCCCTTAGAGAAGCATTGACAAGGGGGTCCCTTGAATTAACCCTTGGACCTTCAAAACTTTCTGATTGTTGTTTTGCATACAACACCTGTTTTGCAGCTCGTCTGTGAACAGTGTTTGCTTTCAACTGTATGATGTATAAAAGGAATTGTGAAAGTCACATGCATAGTGTAAAAAAAACCCCAAAGTATTCAAATTATATTTTAGTAGATGAGGACCTCTAGGGAGGTGGGACTTTTTTTCCTCAAGAACACCTTTGACAGGTGGAATTGTTTATGAGTTTGAGGCCAAACACTGACAGAGTAAGAAGCCACTTCTGCTGTGTCTCAGAGGTGTTATAGATGTCTTATCCCTGTAAGTGTTCAAGACCAGGTTGGATGGGGCTTTAAGCAACCTAGTCTAGCGGAAGATGTCACTGCCCATGTCAGGGGAGTTGAACTAGATGGTCTTTAAGAGGCTCCTTCCAACTCAAACCTTTCTGTGATTGTGTGATTCTATAAGTATCTTGTGAGATGAGTCCCTGTCACGTACTGTTCCTGAATTGTCCTTAAATATAATCTGAAACAGCAGCATTTCCTAGAAAGAAGCAATGCCTCCCAACTAGGAAAATCAGTGACAATTAAACAGTCTTTACTGTGGCACACCAGTGCCTCAAGCCTGTGACGTTTTATTTCTTTAAGAGATTTAAATGTATCGAAACCATAAATTGTCTTCAACTTCCACAATAATTTAGGAGGACAGATTAGCAAGGCCCAGGGTGAAATTTCATACCAAAATTAAAAGGAAGGAGCATCTGGCTCAGCGTCACACAAGGTTTGAGGTAGGGATCCAGTTGCAGTACTCCTTACATGTGAACTAATGAGCTGTTAGGATATTTAGGAGAGGGTACTTGGACAAGGGAGAACTTGAAAGGGGAAACCTGAATCTGATTTTAGCCACATCAAAGCTGCATGCAGTAAAGAGTAACCAGACAAGATTTTACCTGAGTTCGGTGTAAAATGGAATAAAACCTTCTGAAATCTCAGCAAGTTTCAGGAAGTGAAAGAGCTGTTTCTCATTTGGATTTACCCTTGGCTTCTACAGTAACACCCTTGAGGGTATTTGTTCATTTGTCCTTCTGGAACACTTCTCCCATCTGTGTTTTCCCTGCTCCATTTCTGGCTGTGTGCATGTACAGCATGCCTTGTACACTGTGGTGTGTGACACACATTAATACGTATAGATAGCCTTCTGCTTCTGACCTTACAAACTGTCCACTTCAGCATTGTCATTCTATGAAATGTCCAACTGCAGTCCGAGAAATGCATTTTAAATGTGAATGCAAACATTTCTATTACTGATAACACCAGCGCAGCATTTTTTGCTTTGCTGGGATTAGGACCTTGATAGTTAAAGTTGCATTGGAGTAATGACACTCCAAGGTTGCGTCCTTTACAGACACGGCAAAGGAAGGGGAGGCCTTTGCTACGTCTCTGCTGATAAAATTAGGAAGAATTATTCCATGTGTTTGGTGAGATTATATTAAAGTGGAAGTATATATTTGTGGCCCATAAATATGTTAGGTCACAGAAACTGTGAGAAATTTACGTGTTGCAAAATGTTGCAGTTATATTTCATTCATGCTGAAAGTCAGATTTTTAGAAAACAATCTGAAATCTGATAATGATGTAAATAAATGCCTCTCTCCTCAGTGAACAGCCATGAACAGCTGCTGTTCAACTAGGGACACCTTAAAAAATAAAATTAAAGTACTATGATCGGCAAAGAGAAACTCACAGGAAATTCCAGCTTAGAAGACTAATTCTGAGTATGCTCCACCATGGTTCACTTTCATGCTCTGTAAAATGGGGATAATAATCTTTATTGATCTGCCTACCTTTTAGCAATGCATTAAGAAGAACTTAAATGGTATCTTTACAGTCTTTTTGAGCAGACTGATATATGCAGCTCTTACAATACAGCTTAGTAGCTGGGCTTGCTATTTTATCAGGTTCTCCCACAGAAGAGCTGTCCTGCTTTTCTTTATGGTTCTCTAGTCTTCACATGCTAACTTCTAACTGGGCAATTGTGGTAAATTGATGATGACTTCAGCACCTACCACTTGTTACCTGACCTACCATAGCTAACCAAGTGCACTCTTTTTGCTCCAGGAGTTGGTTTAAGTTGTCACACTGTACTTCATGGCTGAGCCAACCTAAAGACACACCATTGGGGTGTGACTGCTGAAGGAGAAGTCACTCAGCAGGACCCTGTCACTTGATCGAGTCATGTCTTAGCCTAATAATGGAAGAGGGTGATCCTCTGATGAGAGCTGCCTGCCCTTCCAGCTATGCCTGAGTTTCTTGGATGTTATCGCATGATGCTTTCTTGAGGATGGATTTTCTGGGGTTGTTGTGTCTCACCTCTGGTGACTTAGATAAGCAGAGGTCCTCAGAGATCTCTGGTACTCTTCACCACACAGTTCACACCTGTATCCATTTTATATGTTTAGCAAGAGATTCGGAGTTGTTTCTCTAGTTTTGCACTTGCACAAAGTAACTTAGTGGTCTGTCCTCAAAGCTAACTGATGTTTTCACTAAACAGTTATTTTACAGCTAATTTTACACTGTATTGTAGAGATTCCATTGATATAATCTAAATTAATTGTTGAAATCAATAGGAATTTTTTATGTTTTGGTTTATATATTTGTTTTGGGAACAAACTTGGTTTTGATTTTCATTAGAAACACTTCTGCCTATTTTTATGAGCAAACTACTCTGTGACTAGCGCTGTCTATACTTCCCTTTCTCTTTCCATCCATCCCTCTCTCCATACATACTTAATGGCTTTGAAACAGCTGATCAGTTTCAACAAAACTTATCAGAAACAAAGGGATCTAAAAAAATTATTAAACTCCCAAATGGAATGAGAATCAGCAGACAGACTGAGGAAAGCTGCCCTGTTACTATCTCCACTGAGGAAAAAGGAGAAAACAGCCATAATCCACCCTCTTTCTCAGCGTCAAGTAGGTCTATACTAGCCAATGTATGTGGGATTAGGGCAACTGGGATCATTCTAGTGGGGGCCAAAATGGACCCATCAAAGTATGGTTGGTGCTGGGGATAAAGAGGAGGAAGCATGGTTTCTGGAGAAGGAACACTATAAGCCTTACAACAGGGTAGATGTTTTCTGGCTGGCTATGATACAGAGAGAGGAAGTATGGTGAAGGAAATAGAGATGTGTTTTGCCTTTTTTTTTTTTTACTTTTCCGATTGCAATAATCCTATGACTCCAGCTTCATATGTTGCTGTTTGAAAATAAACAAAAAGTTTGGGTTTAGTCCCAAGTTTTATCAGAAGTTTTTTTCAGATGTTCTAATACTTGTAAAAAGAATCTTCCAACAGCATGTCTTTTTTCAGCCTAGAGGCTTATTGACTGACAAGCTTTCTTACAACATCTGTTTGACATCTCATCCTAATATTAGTTTTACAGTCACATTCACTGTATTCCCAAGTCTGAGATGTCATAAGTGTCTCTTTCTGCAAGTACTTGCCCCAGAAATGTTACTTAATATATTTTATCTAACATCAGTCCTCCTGTTGTGTTGTACTTCATAGTTGTCATCCAAAACTGGCTGCATTTTTATGAATGTATCTTAATAAGGCATGTCCTGAAAGGCACCAGTATCCCTCTGTTTCTTCATGGTAGTAATGGGTGGTCATCTAGAGTACTAGGAATCAGTAAGTCAAGGAAAATTACACAGGCATTACACAGTTAGTACCATTGTACGGATGAGTTGTAGAAAGAAGGACAAAAACACTGATATTTGTATCTATTTCACTCTATGTTAAAATATGAGATGGGAACAAACCATGATGCAGGGCCCCAGGCTTGGCCCAGCATTTGTTTCATACATTCTCAGCCACGGCATATTGTTGCAGGTGACAGTGGACAGTGGCAAAATGTACAGGTGAAATGTGACATGACAAATGAGTTTGAAAGTCCTCATTACCCCAGTGAAGGAATGGTTGTTTCCCACCCTCAGCCTGTCTTACCTGTCTCTCTGTGTTTATTTCACCTAAGTTTGACTTAACATGCATAAGTAATCACGTGTGGTAAGTATATGTGGCAAGTGTGCATTTTCCCTATGTTGTTTTTTCCAGATTATTGGAACAATCCCATTGATGCCTAATCCAGTCCCCTCCAGCCAGGCGGCAGGTGGAGCTCAGGGACTTCAGGTGCAGCCGATAACTCCACAGTTACTGACCAATGCCCAGGGTCAAATCATCGCTACTGTCATCGGCAACCAGATACTCCCAGTGATCAATACCCAGGGAATAACTCTATCGCCGCTCAAACCAGGCCAGCAGGTAAAGTGTCTGTAGACTGAATGATTTTCAAAACAGACACACAGAAATCTTCTAATTGTCAAGGACACTCTTGTGGCCTCTCTAAAAACCCCCAGTTCTTTGTCATTTTTAATAACAAAAATTAATTTCTAGTGTATTACTGCATACTATATACATAGTTATTAATAATGTCATATTATATAATTTACTTATACATCCAAGAATTATCCAGTTATTCTTTTTCTTTTCTTTTCAAGGTCAATATAGGGCCAACTGAGATATTTTCTGCAGTGAAAGTGTAATAGGATTATGAGACAGGGGAGACCCACCTGGCCTATGAAGTTGAGTACCTTAGTTAGTGGTCACCTAGTAGGCTGGGGCTTGAAATGCAAGGAAAGAAATGAAAAATATAAAATCTTGTTAGTCCTCCTCACTGAAAAATCAGATAAGTTTGTATATATTTGCATAGACAGACAGTATTTTAGGGAAATTATTACTCAGTGTAAGGCAGCAGGTGGTTCACAGAGTTAAGGATGGCTCCAGTGACCACATTAACCCAAAAGATTTCTGTTGTTCTTTTTATAGTATTCTAAAGTCAAATTAATTAGTTTTGCCTACATCTGTAGAGCAAGGAATTGTAGTCCCACATTTTTCTCTGAAAGAGACAAAATTGAGGATGGAAAATCCATCAAATGTGATTACCAAAGAGGTACTTATAAAAATGTGTGTCACTTAAATGTTCATCTTAGCATCTCTGTTGCTGGTAGTACTTTATTGCCAGTCCTGCCTACAGCTCTAAGCACAGGTAACAGCTTCTTGTATGCTGTTGAAAATCCCAGGACACCCTGAACTCCAAACCAATGATTTTATCTTTTTTCCCAAATCTTCATTCGCGAAGCTCAGCCATGATTTTTTCAAATTTAGAAGTAGAGAACCAATGGATCTCTAAGGTTTGTTTGTTTTGAAAAGTTTCCACATCCGAATGGTTACATGATTTTTTTCCCCATCTTATCCTCCGTAGTATCTAGCAGAGGCATTTTCCAAAGCACTTGTCATTTATCTAACTCTGTTTTCTTTAATGGGAGCATACTTGCACTACTGATGAGTGCTTTTGCAATCATTGCATGTATATGGTTTCAAACAAAGTAGGATGATTGGGAGGGCAGGCTTTGGGTTCTCCACGCAGGAAAGCTTGACAATAGAATAAGAAACTCAGGAGTTTACATTTGGTTTCCTGGGTGTGTGTGGGGTGGGGTATTTCTTTCTGAGTCAGTCCCCTGAAGAGATTAGATCTTTCCCTCCTTTATGGGGGAAGCTCTCAAAAATCATAGCAATCCTGAGATCCCATTTGAAATACATGCAATTTAGAAGTAAAGCGGAAGATAGAAGACCTGTACTATTGCCTGAGACATTCTCATCTGCAGGACTCACCTTCTGAGTCCTGCAACAAAGCAACTTCTTCCAGGCAATGTCTGCCAGTAGTGTCAGTGGGCAGAGAGGGGACAGAGGCGTGACCATTTTCTGCACAGCTCGTGGCGCTGGGCTCAGATAAAGGGACAAACTGCTGAAAGCTGCAGTTTGCTGACTGAGCGGGGTGCAGGGCAGAAAGCTCTGTTTAGCTACATCATGATGTATTGTACTAATTCACCCAACCTCTGCACTCATGTGACACGATCACCAGGCAGCGATCAACAGTCGTAGAGAATTGGTTACGTCCAAGAGCCTTAAGCTGGTCTGCCCAGCAGTGCTGTGGAGGTAGAAAACATTGTTTTGCCAATGCCAGTTTCACAGGGTTCACCCTTTGCCTGTTACACAGAGTCCTGAGGTCCCAGGGGTTGCAGGAAGGGCCACCAAATAACATGGTTTCCTTACTTTGGATCAGATTCTCTTGGAGCTTGATCAAGATGGTATTATTGATTGGGGAGGGGAAAAAAAGTAGCGCAAACACTATATGAAAAAATAGTACATGTTATTATTTGTATAGGAACCACAGAATGTATGTATTTGTGCTCCCTCTACTGGCTCTTCTGGTTTTACTGAAGGAAGTCAGAGGAAATTTTGCCGTGAATTTCAGTGGGAGTAGAAAAGAGGTATGAGAGCTAGATTTCCCTTAGGAATAATGCTGACGGACAGTGAAAAGCAATTGAGCTAGTACTATACAAGCTGTCGTAGTATTTGAAAAGTGAATAGATTTACATGAAGTTTAAGGAGACCCTGAGTTTATTTTATTGCCTGGGTAAAGATTTAGCCTAACTGCAGTGTTTGGGTAATGATAGCGTATTTAGACATACAGTTTAAAATCTCATTTTCAGAAGAATTGAGTGAGTGCTTAAACCCAGAGGGCTCAGCAGGAATTCAAAATATTTTTGAAAATGGTGTCACATGGCATTTGGTGTCTTGTAACTTGATGAAAGAAACTTCAGAATGGGGAAAGATTACAACACAAGTTTGAGAAAAGTTTTTAGAATGTCATGGAGAAATGAATGCAGGAAATAAATAATGTAGTAAAAATGTTTCAGTTACAGATGATCCTAGTTTAACTTTCAACTTGTCACTTCCTTGGAAACTGAGTACTTCAGGAGAAAAAGAGGTGATTGCAAGCAATGATAGTAAGCTGCTGCTTGTTAGCTGAGTCACAGTAATGGAACCTTTGTAAACTGCTCCAGTTGCTAAGTAATGCGTGCTAGTGCTTACTTTTGCCTGATGACTGAAGACTTAAATGTCTCAGATATTGGTTTTAGTCAGCTTTACTTAGGTAAACTACATGTGTTATTTATTCATACAACTTTTTCAAACTTGACAGACTAAAACCTCAATGTCTCCTCATGGAAATGAGTTCATAGATTACTTACATGTAGCGTAAAGTGATGTTTCTTTTTCTGTGCTATAAATAGGTTGCTTTTTAATGTACACGAGCAAGTCTGTTGTAGCCCTATTCCTCTTGTCTTTAAGTATAAATAGAAGTTTTTGATTTATGTTCTTTAAACTACCTACAGTAGGGATTGTTCCTCTTCAAATTACACTGAGTAGGTAAATCTTCAGGTTTTTTACTATTTTCCAAGAGTTTGCTAATCTAAGAAGCACTGTCTGTGCACACATCAAGAATTCTCCTAGAAATTGCAGTGGCTTTCTAAAGCAGGCAGCTGTTTGCACTCCTGTTTTAGTCTGTATCCTTTTTATCTCTGTTCATAAACAAGTTTTTCTTTGCCTTTAAAACTTTTTACTGCCCATCTCCCAAACGTTTCAATTTCCACATTAATCTCTTCAAGATTTTTTGATCAGAACTGAATGCCGTGGTCACAGCGAGGATTCATCACTGTTCTACATAATAACATTATAATATTTTCAACATTATTTTCTTTCTTTATCTCAATACAGTCTAACATCCTGCTTTTTTTTCTCTCTCTGTTCACTGAACATTTTTTTTCAATAAGCAGATGTATCCACCATAATACATCTTTTCTTCCCCAGTTGTTAACATGTGTATCTCTAAAATGGTTCCTTTTGATGCGAATCACTTTGCACTGATCTACTCTGTATTTCATCTGTTGTAATGCTCCCCTGGCATGTTGTAAACAGGATCTTTAAGTTATTCATGGTATTCTGTACTAACTGAAGAAATTCATGTGTTCTTCATGATGATTCAACTTCACCACTGTTCACCATATTTAGTTGCTTGTTGCTGAAACCATTTAAAAATTAGGTATAAATCCTTTGTTCTTTACTTGTAGTCTCCTTTCTTGAAAAAGGATGATTTATTCCCTAATTTTTTGTTTCTTTCTTTGTGTACCATAATAGAAGAGTACCTTGTAACCTTAACTTCTGCACTTCCTCCATCCCTCTGGAGAGGGATTTTGTCAAAATGGAGGTTGTATGGCCAAATGCACATTGTTTTCAAGAACAGATGAGCTCGTTGTAACAACTTGTTAGCATTGCCATTGACTATCAGATTTGAAAACTTTGTTTCAAGGTATTCTTTCATATCTTTAACAACACAATGTTAATACAGCAGAGCTGACAGAAGAACTTGAAATTGCAGTCCTACAGAATTTAGGAAAGGATGCACTTTGCTTGACTTAAAGCAATTATGTATCTGGTGTAAGCTGGTTAACTGGATTTCCGGTGTAGACATAGACAAGGAGACATATGCATGTCCAGTGGGCAACTCAAGCTGTCAAAATAAAATAATTTTAGATATGTTGAATCTCTTGTAGGTATCTTAAGGTATCTGTTGTCTTCATTGACATGAGAGGGAGCTAGAGTAGCTATTTTAGGATCATCAGTTAACTCTTCAGTGAATGAAATTAGGTAAGATGAATCCAGCTGCCAGTGATTACTGGGGCTCAAAACACATCCTTGTCTATGAATTCCCTAAATAGCTTTCCTACTAATTTGTGTTTTCATAACTATTTTCTTGCCCATACAGAAGCACCTTCTATACATTCTATTGTTCTGCAGCCTACCTCATAAAGCAAGTTCCCTTCTCACTGTTTCCTGGCTCTTTCCTTCTACATACTAGCTTCATTAAATCAGGTCTGTAGTCCCAGTTGTCCTCAGTCTTGTTTTATCTACACTGCCTGCCAGAACTTTTCATATTTCATTGTGTCTTATAGCACAACCAGCTTTGGGCTTCTGCCAGCTCTAACACAGTGAAACAAGCTCCTAGGCAGCATTTTCTTACGTAGTCAGTTCCCCATCCTTGCTGTCGTTGGCTATCATGCTCCAGATCAACTGTTGAAAGGACACAGCTACCTCTTAGATGGGCCTGTGGTGATGCTTGTGCATCTGTTTTCCAAATGCTAGTTTCCAAATGTACCTATTCTGTTGGTCTAAGCAGTGTGAAGAGATACCTTTTATACTATATGTACTATAATATACTATAGTGAGAGAGAAGATGCTTATTAAGTATCAAATAGCATTTGTATTCAGATTACTATATTCACTTACTTGAATTTATTTGAGTAAGCAAAATTAGGGTGATGGGATACAGTATTTGTGAAATATTCTGGCAGAGTTGACTG